TTATAATTAAATTTGTTGAACAATTATTAAACGAAAAATTGAAAACAAAACAAAAAAGTTTGAAGAAACCTAAAAGATTTAAAAATGTCTTTAGAAAAGCTTCAAATTGCCTTAAAAACAAACTTTGAAACTCTTTTGATATGTTAGCATTTTATTTAAAATATTCATATTTTTAAATAGAAAAAGTGCAATATTTAATGGAATGGTTTTTAAGTTTCTTTTTTTTAAATACGAAAAGTGTGATATTTTAATGGAATGGCTCCAAAGTTTCTTTTAGAATAAACTTTAACACTTAAGATTTCTATGAAATCCAAAAATTTTTTTTTACATCACTCAACTTTTTAAACGCTGCTGAAAACTCAGAGCTATTGTGCAAACTTTTATTGTTTATGTTAAATCCGGTTTGTTCAACCATGTTTCATTATATAGAGGAGAAAAAAGCAGTTTAGGCAGGGGTAGTTTAGGACAAAGCAAAAATTTAAATAAATACAAACTTATCAACCAAGTTTAATATATGAGCTAATTGGATATACAGTTTTGCACTTTTTTAACCGTCACAGGTTATTTCTTAAGAAAGGCATTTAGATTGCTTACCTACAAATGTTTTATGACTTTTAAAAGTTTTAAACGTTAGGATTTACTGAGAAATTTACTTCTCCAAGCAATTTTTTTTTTACATTTTTATTGAATGGGATATGTTATTAGATATAAACGAGAAGTTTAATTACAAGAAATAAAATTTTCAAAAAAATTTAGTAGAATATATTCTGAAATCAGGTTTGAGGCAGTATTGGAAAATTTTCATGGGGTTTATTTGGACGCACTACGAGTCTCCTAACATTCTTATAGGCATATGCAATTATTAAAAATTATAAATTAAGCAAAGTGTAAAAATGATACGCAACTGTAAAAAGTAATGTGAAAGATTTATAAAAGAAGAAGAATTAAAAAATGCTGTAATAATAAAAATACCATTAATAATAAAAATGAAACTAAAAGTGCATTTTCTAAAATTCCATTGGCTTACAAAAGAAAAATGCTTAGAAATAATAAAAACTTAAAAAGTGATAACTGCAGGTGTACTTGAAATTTCTAAAATTTCATTGGCTTACAAAATAAAAATGCTCAGAAATAATAAAAACTTAAAAAGTGATAACTTTTTCATAAACTATTTATTTCCACATTTATAATTAAGTTCATAACATTCAAATTTGGTTGAATGTTACAAACTTTATTTTTTCAATGGGGTTGTAAGAAAGCTTTTCTTTTATCCCAAATTGCCCTAATAGCGGGGCAATTTATGAATCCTAAACTTCCCCAGGACAAACGCGTTACGATAAAAAAAAAATTTTATCCTAAACTTATCGGGGCAAAGACTTTGCTTTTTTGAAAGATAATTTTTTAGATTAAAGAAATGTTTCGAAACACATTAGGAACTATATAAATTTGCTATTCGTTTTTTAGTAGGGATGTACCGAAGCTTCGGCTTCGGCTTCGGCGTGCCGAAGCTTCGGCAATTTTGCCGAAGCTTCGGTTCGGCCGAAGCCAGGTCAATTTTTTGCCGAATCTTTGGCTTCGGCAAAAAATTTTAAGTAATTAAAGTTATAAGCTACTGTGGGACAAGTTATAAAAATAAGCTAATTGCCAGTGTCTAATAAAGTTATAAATTTAGGACTACAGAGTTAAAGTTGGAGTCTATACCATATACTTAGTATTATTTACTCCCAAGTGTCTTGTTATGGAGGGGATAATAATAAATAAGTAAAAAGATTTTGAAAAAAATAATAAAAATGGGGAAGGTCCTCATACACTTTGAAAGCTTCCAAGTGTGACTTTAGATGAACTGAAGCAGCATTTCTATGCATAATAAAAACCTTATAATTTAAAACAAATTAAAAGTTTTTAAAACCTTAATTTGTATTATGTAACGAATTCATATTAATTATTGTGTGGGATTACCGCAAATAGAACAAAATTTGGTTTCAACATTTGACCGATAAACCTTAGTAATCTCTCTTTAAAGAAGGTTAAAGATACGTTGCTACTATTTTAAATTTTGTGTATGTTTAATTTTTTAAAATTTTATTTAACCATATTAATAAAAATTAACAAATTTTCATCGTAAATTTACAGAAATTGGTTAGGTGTCACTTATATAGATACAAAATAGTCAATGGAGTGACACATAAAAAACAAAAAGTTCTCAACAACAAAAAAGGAAGAAAAGCAAATGAAATATAAACGAGGATAATAAAAAAAGAAAAAAAAAAGCCAACAAAAACTAGATAAATTAAAAGAAAAACAATGATAATAACTATCCTTGCTCTTTTATTAATACTATGAATACTTCTAAATTGAATTTATATATTAAACATGTAAACCAATATTCTGGTTTCTTCTTATGATATTATGAAGACTTTTAAATTTTATTTAAATTAAATTAAAGGTTGAAGCTTTGATTACTTTGAGCTCTTATATTTATCATCAAAATTTATTTAAATTAAATAAACAATTTAAATCAAATAAATATCAGCCTGCTCAGTCCCTGTTTATTTATAAATATAAAGTAAATAATAATATAATTATAAATAAAAAAATTTATAAAGTATTCTATTTATTATTTTATTTAAAGCTCACTCTACAGAGTTGTTAGATTACTTTGGAAGTTTTTATCACAGATAGTTAATATTTGATTTCAGATACTGATGCAGATTTATCCATTATAGAGACAGAAGAAGAATGAATACTAAGATTTCAAAGTATAAAAGATTAAAAAAAGCTATAGAAAATGTTATGTAGTGTTAAGTTAAAAATAATCAAAAAAAAAAATACTTAAAAGTGTGAAAAAAGAAGTTAGAGACAAATCTATCATTTGTACTTTTTTTTAGCAGCAGGTTCAGGAATCCAAAATGGTCTTAACTTGGGTTTTTTTTAGTTTAGAAATTGTTCGTTAAAAGAATACAGAGAAGTAAAAAAAAAAGATATTGAAATAAATAGCAATAAAAAGATAAAGTGTGTTTCTTATTTTTTATGTTGTAGATACAACTAGATCAGCTAAGACTGTTTATTTAAAGAAAGAGTGATCAAGTGCAAAAGATAAATTTACTCTAGTAATGTTCAGAGATTTTTATCCACTTCTATTAACAAAAGGTGCATTAAAAATAAAAATAAAATATACAGGACATGAAAAAATGCTATATAACATTAATATGGTTTGCACACAAAAAAAATAGAACTAGAAGTAGGAAAATTTGGGGAGAATGTTTCAAAAAAGCTTAAGTTTAAAAAAAAAACGCTCGATGCGGTCAAGTATCAGAAACGACATAATGAGAAACTTTAAAACAGGGGCGCTGAGAGCTTTTGCCCTGCCTGGAACAGCAATTCTGACTGGCGTCCTCATTTTTATACAATTTTTCTATATTAATAGTCAAGGACCTTAGTTTTGGTACCTTTTTTGTTTTACACCCCTGCTGATCTGAATGCTGATTAAATTTTAAGCATATATAGTGCCGAAGCTTCGGCTTCGGCAAAGTGGCTTTGGCCGAAGCTTCGGCTTCGGCAAAATTTCAGCTTCGGTACATCCCTATTTTTTAGACAATAAATCAATGCAGACATCATTTTTTCACGATTGAAATACCCTATGTTCGATACCTTATTGTGACAGACATCTTTGAACCGGTGACGGATCCAAGGTGGGGAATGAGGTTATGCATCCCCCTACCACCACCACCACTACCACCACCATCACCACCACCAGAATCTGAACGTAAAACATCTTAGAAATTGAGGACATTTTTTTTGTTTTGTTAAGGAGATGCAAATGTGGTACAAAATACAAAAATATTTCAACACAACACCTCCCACCCTCCACCAAAAATTCCTGGACCCATCACTGCTGGAAATTATGTGGTTGTTATACATTAAATTGTAAAAATTTTCCGGATGGTAAAATTCTTTAAAATTTTTAAAGTTTATTTAATTTTATTAAATGAAATTAAATAAACTTTGAAATATGAAATAATAATAATACAAAAATACATTTTAACACAAATTCTTAAAAAAGCGTTCAGTTTTCCCAGTACCAGCTTTCATACTCGGAAAAGCATAGAAAGGACATATCACAAGGTCTAATCTGGATCAAGATGTAGGGGTCTAAGAAAAAATTGAAATTATAGCGGCTGTTTCGAAAAATGGCCGCGATCTGACATCAAACAATGTAGTACAGCAAAAAGCTTGGTGGATTCGTGTTTAGAATAGAACTAGGCCTCAGAAAATGCTCTTCCTATAAGACTCGAAAAAAGTCTTTATGTACACTTCCCTATAAATACACCATAAATTGTTTTTGGATAGTGAGAAGAATGCGGCTTTGTTTACACATTTGTTATTACATCCTTGCGATTGATGTTATTTGTTGAAGAAATCTTAGGATTATGCAGTGTTTAACACATCTTTGAAGAAATATCCATTGATTTTATGATTTTGTTACGTTTTTATGTTTTTTATTACCACATGTTAAAAAAATTGCTAATATCTTTTTTTGTAGTGTCCGTGAAAAGTATTTACTTATATAGTATTAAGTAAAATATATGTGAGAGTAATAAAGTGTAAAAATAACTTTTTTTTGAAAATATATATTATGACACGAAACTTAATAAAAGGGTTATTTTTACAAAATATATTTGTTAATCGGCTTGTTAATCTAACTGTTTAAATAATTAAATAGCCAAATTTATTTTGCGCACACTATTAGGGTTTCTAAAGCGTTGCTAAGAGCTTAAATATTTTTTTAATTTTACATTTAAACTAATGAAACCATGTATGAAAATTTATAATATTTATTTAATATAAAACGTTTATACAAATGATTTTAATGCTTTCTTTTTAATTTTTTTTTGTTTTTAAATGGTTTATTTCAACTTCTTGTATATTTCCGCTAATTAGGTTTTGTTTACATTTTTTCACTGGTGAAAACACTTCGTCACGTGTTTCATAATTGCAGCACACATGATTTAAGTATTTTATTACGGAAAGTCCGTAATAAAATACTTAATGCAATAGTTTTCGACTTTTTATCGTTATGATAGACAAAAAAGAAAATACATTTGAAAAAATTTATAAGCTGCCTTTAGATGACGAAACTTGGAGCTATTTACTTCAAAAGTTCAAAGATTCCCATCCGCAGAGTGAAGTTTATTTGTCAAATTTATCTAGATCTGAATCAGATTCTGATTTAAATCATTTATCGACTAGAGTATTAACCGATATTTCCGTGTATGAAAGCAATGATATTTTGCTATTTTCAACTTTTCCAAAAAAACCCTTATTTGTTAATGGCATGGTCTTAGAAGATAAAGTTAAACTAGTGCAGAATTTTCTCAATCGGCTTCAGTATAATCATTTAGGTGTTTATTTTTTTGATGTTAAAACAAAAAGGCCTGTTTACAGATTAGCTGAATTAGCCAAAGATATAATCAGAAATCCAATGCCTATAAAATGTCTTGAAGCTGTTATTGTTTCAATATTTTTGACTTCAAGTATTGAGTCACTTTTACGATTTTCGATTCGCTTTAAGTCAAGGTTTCAGAACAAAGTTCATCGCCACATTGTACTTGGTCTTTATTGGTGTTCCCAATCTTGTTTTGGAGCAATTGGTTTGAGCAGGCGTAGTAATTTAATGGATAAGCCATTTAAATATAAAAAATTGTCTGACTTAATATTTGACTACAGAGCTAGTTATTCAGAATGTTATCACTGCTTAACTAAAGTTAAATTAAGTTCAATAATTACTTCAAATATGCAGTCATCTGATCAAATAAATTGGAATTATTATGCTGTTCCAATGTTAAAAACAAATGATGAAAATATTGTAAAATCATTAGAAATGTATAGTCGAGAATTAAGAAAAAGTAGTTACATTAAACATTAATACTTCATTGATAAGAGTGAAAATCCCTAAAACTTTCTTATATTCTATAGTTTATTTATAGTTCTGTGTTTTTGTGTTTTTCATATTAATGATAAAACATAAGACATTTATTTTATAATATTCTTAACCTAAAACACAACTATGTTATGAAAAAGTTAGGAAAGATAAAATGAAATTCAATTTTATTTTATATTTCGTAACTTTTTACAACTTTCTTATAATATTAAACTATCAACAGTTTGTATTATTGTTATGAAATGTGCAAATAATCTTAATATAATATCTAAAAATTCTATTGTATATTATCACCATTAAAAGTATAAATAGATATTGCTAATATGCATATGTATATTTATTATTATAAATAATAATTGTCATTTATTATTATGAAGAGGTTATAGTTATATAGTGATAATTGTTGTTCTTGTTGTTAATTTTAACATTATGAATATTACCTTATTATTATTTAATAAATATTATAAGTTAAATTTATTATTTAACTAATAAATTATTATTGAGCAACTTTTCTACTTCACAAATATTAGCAAATTTTATAAAATTTTTTTTTTGATATATATGTATATATATATATATATATATATATATATATATATATATATATATATATATATATATATATATATATATATATATATATATATATATATATATATATACTGAAAAATATGTATCTGCCAATTTTACAAATATTATTATAATCACTGCTGAATAAAGCTCTCATCTCTAGTTTCATCAACTAAAACTCATTCTCACTTGACTTGTCATTCAGCAAAAACTCATTCATTTACTGCATACTGTCCCTGCATGCTCTAAAAACTTTTATTTATCGACTTTTTTTCCCCAAGTTCCAAAGTACCCATCGGAACTCCCATCTTCATTTTTTCTGACTTATACGACCTACAACTTTTTAAGTCTCTTGTCTACAATTCTTTGGGGCTAGAAAAAAATTTATAAAACTTTATATATTATAATTTTATGCTTACATTTACTATTTATTAAATACTGCCATATATTTATATATTTTCAAACTCTAATTTAGTTCCAACAAGATTGCAAGCAACCACTATTAAGTTATAAGTTACTTTAAAGTAGAGAATAAGTAAAAATACTAGGAAATGGTTAACTGAAGTTTTGAAAAGTTGTAGGTTGTATATAAAAAAAAAAAACAGAAACATGAAGATGGCTAATAGCTATAAGGTTTTTTTGATGTACAAGGAAAAAAACTTTAATAATTAAAGTTTTTATAGCATGAAGGGATAGATACAGTAAAAGGATGCAACTTGTTGAATAAGAAATAAGCAAGAATGAGTTTTGGTTTATCGTAGTAGAGATGATAGCTTATTTGAGCACTGACCAAGATTGTATTTGTAGAAAAAGATATCTTGTGGCAGAGTTGTTATTCCTTGGCCTTGGCTTTACCCTTGCCTGTATAAGTTAAAATTATTTTTGTCAAGACAAGATTTTTTGCTGTTTTTTTTTGTTGTTTTTTTAATTATAAAAAAATTCAATAATACTTCAGTTGAAATAGCCATTCAATAGCCATTCAAGCTAAAAAAAACTTTAAAAACGTGTTTTTTTCAATAATGTCGTCTAATTCCAAAATTTTTTACTTGTAATGATGTCATGTCATTTAATTTAATTAAACTTTTTAGGTTTCCAATGGTAATCATTAAATTGCCAGTTGAAGATCTTATTTTTAGGTTGGTAATATTGTAGTTTTTTTTAATTTCAATAACTTCAATTTATACTTTTTTGGTTTTATTTAGGACGGCAGAAAGGTTTTATGGGGTTATTCCAATTTACAATATTCTGCCATTTCTGTTGTTTTCCAAATGTTTTTAGTTAAACTTTTTTATGCTCAGCAAATAGTGTTTTTAATGTTTTTAAACAATATAAAAAGTTTCACCTGCTGGTTAACATATCATGTATTTAAGTTTATTAACACCTATGTAATTGTTTAGAGGCAGCTTTAACTTATTTTGTTAAGTTAAGTAATACCCATGGATGATTCTAGGAATAGTGTAGATATGTAACGAATATTTGATGACTATTCGGTATTCGAGCTAATCGCCAACAATTTTTACTATTCGGTATTCGGCCGAATATTGCAAACTATTCGAATACTGAATACCAGATTGCAAAGAAAATAACGCATAAAATCGGATTACATATAACTTTTTTTTTTTTTTTTTTTAACAAACATTCATAGAACCTCTACTATTTATGCACTTCATAAATAATATCTTAGAATTAGTTTAAATTACTTGCAAACCTTTTGCCAATAATAGTCAGTCGGTTGCCAAAGTAAAGTTAATTAAGGGTTTGGCGTATGTTCAAGAGGGCATTGATATCTTATGTGATTGGTCAAAACTTTAGCGCATAGAATTTAACATTAAAAAAATGAAAAGTTTCACGGTGGTTTCTCAGAATTTGACACCCTTTTGACAATCGTATTAAAGCTGATCCAATTAAGAGAAAATTAAGTATTCTAGTTAATAACAAATTCACAAGAACTATGGAAAAATTAAATGCATCACATTATTTTTAGCTAGAAAAATTAAAAGACATGCAATAGTTTTCAGCATTTGTGGCAACTACTATAGCTGACAAATAATCAAAGAGCAAACGGTGTATTATTTGGTGTTGCATAAACAAATTTTTTGTATGTTTTGTTTTTGTTTTTTAATTTTGTTTTAGGTGCCCCAAGAAGAACTATCGTTGTTGTCACAGTACACCGCGGAAAAACATTTAAATAGGAAGCTTACGCCTTCTTCCTTACTGATACGCGTAATACACTCAGAGCTCGCTGATATAGACCGGGATCTCTTGTTGCTGCACAACAGCCGCTTATTTAACGATTCCTTTATAAACGTTATATGAATTGCTTTAGGGTTATGGTAGGTCACTATAAATATATAGTCTAAAACTTACGTAAGTATATTAAAACCTATTGAAATATATTGAAACAGCTGTTAAATAATGCGCACTTGACCGCAAGTTACACTAGAAATAAATTATTTAATCGTGCTCTGAAAAAAATCCTTCGCACCATTTTATTAAGACCTCTCGGTTTAATAAATCTGAACTAAAATCCCACCCCTCCCTTTATTTCCCACCCTTCTTTATTTAAAGCACCCGAGAGTAGATGGTGGATAACCAGGAACAGAGGGAGCTTCGCACTTTAGTTCTAATTACAATAAATCTTGTGAGATACAGCCCCTAGACCTATTGTTTTTGATATTAATGAATTAATTCATCTTTGTAAAGATAATGGAATTCATTTTTTGACTATTCTATCTCGTACGTCTCAAAAACTACAACTTTTGGACCGCAAAATAATTTGGGCAGTTAAATTATATTTTAACACAGCATGTGATAATTGCACGGTTTCTTATTCTGAGCTTCCACAAACTATATATGGTTTAGCTTTGACTAAAAATTAAGGTGGTAACCCTAGAAATAACTTATTTTTTGTGTTTAAGCTATTTATTGATATTTTGTATTAAAACTTGATTTTATTTCAAAAAATTAAAAAAAAAAAAATTCAAAATTTTTTTTTTCTTTGATTATCCAAAATAAATTTGTTAAGCTTCAAACAATGAATAAAAATATTTGTTATATATAAAAAATATATTTTTATATACAATATTTTCATTTGTCATAAAATTTTTTGATTTATCTTGATAACTCTAAAGCTATGCAAAATATTTCAGACTTTATTTATTTAGTCACTCAAAAAAGTACTAAATTTCATATAAATCAGAAGTTTGCTCTTTATATTACAAAATCCAAAGAGAAATAATTTATCAATGTCTTATAAAAATGTCTTGAAAATTTCAGTTCATAAATTCCATACCGTTTTTAAAAAACCATGTTTTGAAATGTGGAATGTCTCAAAAATTATTAAACCTGGGAAATGAGACTTTTAATAAAGTATTTCAAAAATAATGCTTAAAAACCACCTGGTATATTCGAAGTTTGTTTTTCATTTGAAACCTCAACATCCACAATGCCTTTTGGTAGAGAATGGCTTCTATAGCTTTCTTCATTTCGTATACATTATCAAAATTTCTCCGAATAGCAAGACCGTAGTAGTTTTGCATGAAATTAATAATAGTATCAGTAACTTTCTCTTTACCATGTATTGAAGTTTTTGTCCCTTTAACGTTTTTCACTAAATTTCAAACTCTAGAACCAAGTCGTTTTTTAGTCTAATCCTTACAAAGAATCTAATCCTTACAAAGAGAACGAAGTTCTCTTTGTAAGGATTAGATTTAACAACTTCTTTAAAAGAAGATGTTTTTTCATTTCCTAAATATTGGGAATAAACTATATTGTTTTTCTGGATGGAAGGTGCAAAAATTTGAATAGTACCGGCAGCTTCCATGCCACCAGAGAATTTCGTATGGTTTATATGACAACCATGATTTACTTTCCATCTATCATTTTCAGGTGTACCTTCCTTGGATCTCCACATTGTACAACCTTTACAGTGTTTTGAGAAAGTCTGATAATCTAAAACTTTATTACCAACAACAGCTGCAACTACACCATTCAATGATGCATGACTTTTCTTCTTTTCTTCTTCGTTGTCAAAAGCTGATTCACCAATACCATACATGTTAAAATAGTTAGTAAACATTTTCAATGCCGCCTTTCCCTGACCAATCTCACAAAAACTATTGACTGCTCGAACATTTGATTCGTACAATTTGCGACCACGTTTAATTTTTTGATTAGAATTGTGGCACTTTTTACTTGTGAAACAGGAGTTAATCCAACCACAGCAAATATATTTCAATTCTAATAAATGAACAAATCCCATTCTTATATTATTTTATTTATTCTATATTTATTTTTTATTTTATTTTATTTTACATTTGTTGGTCGTAATAAAATTATATATTGCCAAAAAAATAATGATAGTAATAATAAACTTTCACAAATCTGAAAGAAGATCAAAGGATCTTGTCGTCAGAACCTTAAATAAGTTCAAACAAGCATTAACAAA